GATGAGGAGGGAGCCCGAGGGCAGGTGCCCGGTTCCGGGTTGAGGTGGGGGGGGGTAGCACCACGCAGGACCCCCCACGGTGCAGGGGGACCAGGGAGGGGATGCGCTGGGTGATGCGCGGGGAGGGGGGATGGATGCGGGCGCCTCCCGATCCCGGCATCCCGGGGACCCATCGGGGGCAGGCGGTGGGGAGGGAAGGAGGAAAGGAGCGAGGGAAGGGCAGGCGGGAGCCGGCACCGCCACGCCCCCGGGCAGCGCCATCCCGGCCCCGCGCAGCGCTGCGCGCCCGCGGGAACCGCGGATCCTCAACACCACCCCCCCCCCCCGGGGCCGCGCATCGCCCCGCGGAGCCGCGGAGCGCGCTCCCGCCCCGCGGCGGGCAGGGAGAGCGCAGGGCTGCCTGTGCCGCAGTCATTAATTCGGGGTGGTGGTGGTTGGCGGGCGGGGGGGGGATAAATAACAAGTAAATAGAGAACGGAATCAAAACAACAGCGGCGGAGCCGGGAGCCGACCCTGGAAAAGTTGGTGTTTACGTTCCCGCTGCCTCCCTCGTACACTTTAAACCAGGAGTGACCAACATGCGCAATCCGCCCCTGGAAATGCTGCACATCCCCCGCCTCGCAGCGCTTGGGGGGGGTGGGGGGTGGAAGGGACACACACACACACACACACACACACACACACATAAAAAAAAAAAAGAGAAATCAATCAAACCCGAAGATTTTCAAGAAATAAATCATCGGCAGCAAAAGCCGCGGGATCCCCTCCCGCGGGAAAAGCAGCCCCGCGCCCGCCGCGCCTTTACCTTTGCCAGCAGAGTGTCCTCCAAGAGTTGAGCCGGTCTCTCGGGTTACGGGCGGGGAGGAGGCGGGGGGCGGGGGATGCTCCCGCAGTCCCCGGCCGGGAGAGCCCCCCGTCGACCGCCTCAATCCGGTGTCATTGCCGGGGCCGCGCCGCCGGGGCCCTCCTTTAGGAGCGCCCGCCCGGTAACTCCATGGATGCGGCCCCGCTCCCAGCCGAGATGGCCGCTCCGCCGCGGCCGGGCGAGCCCTGCCCGCCTCCTGTTTCTCTTTCTCTTTCCCCCCCGCACTTCCTCACGCTCTCCTCGCTCGGGCTCCGGCAGGGAGGCGGGGAAGCGACTTTCGGAGCGGGGACGGATAATGGTGGCGGCGCTTCCACCCCCCCCCCCCCAACCCCAACCCTCCCCCCTCCCGCCGCTGCTGCCGCCCCAAACGTTCAGTTTCTTCCCGTCCGTCCGCCCCGTTCCGCAGCGGCAGGGCCGGGTGCGGGCAGCGCCGGTCCCATCCCGGCCCGCTGCCGCCCGCCCCTCACCCCGCCGCCGGCCGCCGGGGCCCCATGGCGCTGCCCGGAGCCCCGGAGCCGCCCCGCAGCCGGCCCCGCACACACCCGCACTCACGGCTCTTCTTCTCCCTCCCCCCCCCCCCAAGCCCGCTCCGCGCTGCGCACACGCGTAAACGGGGCCGCTCCTTAAAGGAAAAAATAAAAAATAATAAATTAAAAAATAAGCTTATACTTTAAAAAAAAAAAAAAAAGCAGCCCTTTTGGCGCCATATTAATGACGTACTTCAAATTTGCCATTTCTCCTGCGTCAAAAAAGACGGTTCTGGCCCATCGCGGAGCGGGCGGGGAGCGCGGTGCGGAGACGTTTATACCCCCCCCCCCCAGCCATGCCCCCCCGCACACCGCACACCGCACACTCTCACACACATACACACTCACACACACACACACACGCCCCTTCCCCGCGCAGCAAACTTCCGCGGCCGCGGGGCGGGCGGGCCGGCGGCGTGGGAATTGCCGGGGAGGGCCGCGGAGGGGCTGCAGCAGCGGAGCCCGGTGTGTGGCTATAGACCGTGTATGCGTGTCTATAGACCGTGTATGTACATCTACAGACCGTGTATGTGCATGTATAGACCGTGTATGTGTGTCTATAGACTGTGTATGTGCATCTATAGACCATATATGTGTGTCTATAGACCATACATGCGTGTCTATAGATCATGTATGTGCGTCTATAGACCATGTATGTGCGTCTATAGACCGTATATGTGTGTCTATAGACCATATATAGCTGTCTATAGAACATATATGTGCCTATAGACAGTGTATGTGCATCTATAGACCATATATGTGTGTCTATAGACCATATATATGTGTGTATAGAACATACATGTGTCTATAGACAGTGTATGTGCATCTATAGACCATATATGTGTGTCTATAGACCGTGTATGTGTGTCTATAGACCGTGTATGTGCATCTATAGACCATATATGTGTGTCTATAGAACGTATATGTGCATCTATAGACCACATATGTGTGTCTATAGACCATATATATCTGTCTGTAGAACATATATGTGTCTATAGACCGTGTATGTGCATCTATAGACAGTATATGTGCATCTATAGACCGTATATGTGTGTCTATAGACCATGTATGTTTGTCTGTAGACCATGTATGTGCATCTATAGACCATATATGTGTGTCTATAGAACGTATATGTGCCTCTATAGACCACATGTGTGGCTATAGACCGTGTATTTGTGGCTATAGACTATGTATGTGTGTCTATAGACCGTATATGTATGTCTGTAGAACATATATGTGTCTATAGACCGTGTATGTGTGTCTATAGAACATGTATGTGTGTGCAACCCCCCCCCCCCTCCCCAAACTTCACTGACTTCCCGGGGTACCCCTGCCCCAGGCACCCCAAAGGGGACTTTTGGGCTGTGCCCTGTGGGAGCTCATTCCCCAGGATTCCCAACAGAGGCAGTGCTGCTGTGAGATAGAACCGCTTTCTTCAATTAAAATAGTGCTAATTGCATGGCACAGTCTATACCGTGCACATCCTTTCGGTCCCGGAGGCCCTCCAGGAGCCGTCTTGCGCTGCTTCAATTGCTGCAGAAGGTTTAAATCCAGGTTAAAGATGCTCTTCCAGTCACAGGCTGCCATCGTCTCTTAAATCCATTAAGCCAGCCAGCTTTCCGGTTGTTCAAAACCATTGGGACCACAGAACCACCACAGCTGAGGCGTGCGGATGCTCCCCACTGTACAGCCCTTATAATTCACCAAACTTGAAGGAATTAGGCTGCAACTTTCTGCTTCGGCAGCCTGTGGTCTGAATGCTCCAAGTCCTTTGGCTCTTCCAAGGCTGAAAGCAAAGGAGTATTGTGTTGGTCATTCTCAGGCTTGCTGTGGTTTTTTTGGACTGTAACTCTAGAAATAGGGTCTTAAAACTTGGCGCGAGACAGCCTTTATGGTGTTTTACATAAACCCACCCAAATTAGCCTTATTATTGGGTCTAAAGAACAGCAGCTCACAGCACACCGCAATAATCATGCCTGGTTCTGGATGCTGAGGTCTCTCAAGGTGCTGCTCAGCAGCCCCCCAGCACTTGAAACTTGAGCCCCCAGGTAAGAAAAGCCTTCCCCTGTAGTACAGCAGCAATGGGACACATGAACACAGCCCCTTTCTGTCAGTCCCCATCAGCCCCAAGTGCCTTGGCAGCTCTTAGCCCCGCTGCTCTGGCACCCAGTGCACTCCCTGCCAGGAATTCACCCATGGATCCCACTTCAGCTACATGCACAGGCTGCATTAAGGGGTATTTTAAAGGTCACTGTGTTACTTGGTCACAATGTCAGAAGCATCCAAAGTGGGGCATTCCATACCAGTTTATGGAGGCCTTCTTGCACGTGCATATTCTGATGCAGTTCTTAATTACATACTCACAATCTGTTTTCCGTATGTCACCTGCAGCCCATGGACCTGCTCTGTAAGTCAAATAGGAAACAAAGTTTGGCCAGATCTTCATCTTCAGAACCAAAAGCTGCCCACAGCACGATAAAACATACAGGCTGAGGACAGGATAAAACTCTTCCCAAGAGGAGGATTCTCTCCTTGCCCTTGCCACAGGCTTTGTAACGCAAACGAACTCATTAAGCCAAACTTCTGGCTGCTGAGGGTTGTGTTGCCCACACTGTAGCCTGAAACCTTTCGCCTGAATTGCTGACATCCATCTTAGTACAGCTGGAAGCAGCGGGTGCTGCGCTTGCATGTACGAAGTGCTGTATCATGTTAAATGCTCTGAGAACGCAGACATTCTGCTCCTCAGATGGACTACCCCGAATTAGTCAAAACTGACCTTCATCCATCCACGTGTCACCCTGACCCATCTTCAGAACGGGTGTTTGGGGAAGGATTAATGAAGGTGCTGAAGCGCTGACGCAGTGTAGTGGAAAGGACTGTAGGAAAAGCCACGAGGAAATTAATAACCCTGTCTTCAGAGGAACCAGCACCACAGCCCTACAGCCCTTCTGGCCATTCCTCCAGGACTTCTGGACAACCCCTCTAAAGGAGGTCATGGAATGTCAAACTCCAGTTCCTTGGTGCAGATGGGTTGCGCGCTGCAGGTCACGGCATCCCTCGATGCAACCTCGATGCATTTTTGCTATGCAGAAGAGGAGCACCTTGTCCTGGCTTTGGAAAGTGCACACAGAAATAGTGGAGCTGTGTTTCCTCTTGCTGCGGAATCCAGAAGTGGTCAGACATGTGGATAATGTGCTGAGCTCAGGCCTAGGATCATGTGCTGAACAATAGGAACAAGCCAGCATTGCGGAGCCCCTTGCTGCATCTCACTCCCTGCACACCATATAGAGATGCAGAAGAAAAACAGCGTGTGAACATGCAATTACAATCATCTCCTGCTTCAACAACAGGGTGTAGATTAAAGTTGTGCCAACAAGAATTTGGACATTTCTGCATTTTGAGTATTTTCCTGGTCAGTAGCTTAACAGATTTTTGCCTACCATATATACATACTTAAACAAAACTCATATATAGGTGCATGTATGTAACACAGACAAACAAAACACACAGGTAACACCTGAAGGATGGCTCTGCAGAAAGGTCGTGTGTATGACCTATATGCTACTCAGCTTACATAGCATGACATTTATGTAACACTCACAGGCATTGTCAGCTGGCATTTGCCAAGGAAAGAAATAAATCTAATAATAAAAACAACCAAAACCCAGGCATCTTAAAGGAAACAACACTGCACAAATCCTCCAAAAGGACAGAGTTGTCTACACAACAAAGGCTCAGCTGATTGATGCTAAAATAAGCAGTTATGCAACAAGTGAGGAATACAATCTCCAGGGAAGAAAACAGCAACGTTTTCCTTTCATCTTCATTCACCGGTGCTTATTTTTGCAAACCTAAAAGGAAAAATATAGGTAACCTTTCAATAATGAGCACCTAAGTAGAATTAACGGGTATTTGAAAGCGAAGGATGGAATCTCTATGAGTTTTGGATGAGTTCTGCAGAGCTAAAGCCTGTTGCTAGCATGACAAGGTGTGAATATGTTGACTTTAGGGGTGAATTGTTCACCTACAGCTACGACTACAAAACTGTTAAAGCAGCTTTAGGACAGCAAAGCTTATAAAATAGTTCATCTCACAGTGCTTTGGTGTAATAAAGCTTCGGAGCAAGGCTTGGGACCCGTGAAAAATCAGTGCAGACAGATCTCATGGAAAGGAAGAAGAAAACCCAGTGGCCTTGTTGGCATCAGATTTGATTACTGCAGTACATTAGCACCAGACACACGGATAGGGCTTATCCGAGGGAGTGCAAGTAGTCCCCAGAAGTCATGAAAGTCCAATGTTGTTTTGAAGACCTTCAGAAACAACCTGTTTTACAGCTTGAAAACAGCACAGGAGACACATGGCTGGTAATTTACTGCCTTGGATGCCCTCTTGTGAGGCCTCTGGTAGTCAGAAGTCATCAATAGAGCCTCATGGCTACTTTGATTTCTGTCAAGGGCCAGAGCAACACACAGCCATTCCAGGAGGGGAACACAAAGATGATGAAGCTTGCCTCCATGTCCCAGGTAGGCTCATCCAATAGCCCACCTACAACCAGGATATTCCATTTTTATTGAGATAGGTGTTAATTTGGAGAGTAGGAAGCAGATGCTGCAGAAGGAAAAAGAACAAGCTCTGTTCTGAATTACAATAATAATCATTCCCATCTTCGAGAGTGAGCTACTAAGGAAAGATCAAGGGAGAGATGGCTGCTATGGTCATTAGATGAACTAATCCCTTTTCTCATTCATTCAGCATAATTGTGTTCCTCTCTGAAGCTAAGGGAAAATGTGCTTACAAGAGAAGAAAATGTGATTTGGCAGCTCAGAGGATAGTGAGATTTTGTTTGCAGTCTCAATTACCTGCAGTAGGGAGGAATTTGGTACCAAAATAAACTGTAAACAAAAAAACCACAGTGGATATAACATTACAAATGTCCTTCCCTTGATGGATAGCTCAAACACCCCTATGTTCTAGCAACAGCTGCTTTAATATCTTGTAAAGAAATGGCAGGCTCTCTGTCTGAAGGGATTACCTTTAAGGGATGCATCGGTAAGTGGTTTTGTGCAAAGATGCTCACGTTCTTGTGGGGTTTATGCACTCATTTTCTTCCTGCCAAATGTTAAGCTTGGTTTTCTGTTGCTTTTGGTTTCTCTGTTTCCTGTAGGTTCACTTCTATTGCAAAGTACATGTAGTATATCACAGGTTTCAGACTGGAAGAACTGGGGTTTTCATAGGGTGGATGGGGGGAAATAAGGAGCATCAGTGATCCGCTGAACAGCTTCAGTGATGCTCCTGCGACAGGAGACCTGTTGTGGCTCCTCCTGCTTTGGATTACATCCCTGGGCATCCCAGAAGACTTCCCCTACACACTTCCCCACTTTGCTCCCTTTTGGGGGGCATTTCAACCTTTCCATGTTAGATATGGAGATGGGATAACACAGCTCTTCAGATCTTCACATGAAGATGTTTGACTGCTACGGGAAAACTCGGCAGTTCTGGGTGATGGGTGATGAAACTAGAAGTGGATTTAGAATAGTTCAGTTGGAAGGGACCTACGAGGCTCATTTAGCTCAGGTACCTAAGAACCTCTTCCCTCCCTCATGAAAGGCTATCCCAGAGGCAGGACACGCCATTGCAAACCTTTTCCCTGCTCATTCCCACCCTGCAGTGCAGGGGAGGATCCACATAGGTGTAAAAGCAGCTCTGGTTTACTCCCCTGAGCAAGCCAACAGGGTTCTCCTCCTCCTGCAGCTGAAGGCAACAGCCAAGGTGCCAGCGGGTGTCTTCCTACCTGCAGATCCCACCACACAACATGCCATTACTTTCTCAGTTAAAAACAAAGAGAGACATTAAAGAGGTAAATCGCAATTCAGTGCACTGAGCAGTACGTATGCTAAGCAATACATGCATCAGGACTGCATTAATCCACATTTTAGACGGATTCCCTCTAGACATTCAGTTCATAACCGCGTTGGCTATTCCCCTGTATTCCTCCGGAGTTGGAAGGTGTGAAAAAGACATTTCCATTTCATTGACTAAGCTCCCAAGGGGAGAGTTTATGAAAGTGCAAGTGCATAATTTACTGCCTGACAGGATAAAGATGGTATCTGGGTTTAAAAAAAGAGTGTACCCTGAAAACCAAAATTGCTAGAGCAGGCATTAGTTTTCCATAAGCACCGTATTTCAGAAGCATTTAATTTAGCTTAGAAGCTCTGTTAAAAATACATGCACTGTAAATTGCAGCTGTATAACACGATATTTATCAGATAATGTCACCAAATAGGCTCCTGTTGCAATATAAATGCCAGAGGAGTTACAGAAAATAAGTGTTGAAGTAGAGAGCTTCCTTTTTGGAAGTGGAAAACCATTATCTCATCCAAAAGTCATAAATAAAGCGATGAGGGTTTGCTTACAGGGTTGGTTTTAACCATAGGGGGGTTGCCACAGACACTCCATCTCCTGAGCAGTGTTCCCAAGTGGCAAACTTACCCCGGATGCAGTGAGCAGAGAGGGATGTGGGATGGGTGATGATGACTCAGAAGGACCTAAGGGTAGCCAAAAGGACAAATCAGGTGTTAATGCATCTGGGGAAAAGAGATGAAGGTGGAAAGTGGAGGATTTCTTGAGATTTACAACATCACACACTATTCATCAGGACTGAACATAGCCAGGACCTGATACAAAACGCCACAATCCCAGCTTCTGGAAAGGATGCCCAAAGGCTGGCTCCGAAAGCCCCATGTTTAGACACATAAATGCACGGTCTGGTTTTCAGAGGATGGAGCACCTGGCAATTCCTATTGATTTCTTCAGGGTTTGGATCAAGTTGTGCGTATGCAGCACTATTTATTAGCAGAAGGTACAAAGGGCTGTGAGAGAGGGAGGGTAAATAAGATTTCAGATCCAACATCTCCGCCTTCTGCTCCTCTGATGGAAGACATTGATCTGGTCTTTTTTGTCTCCTGTTAGAACAGGACTGAAATAAGGCTCGTGCTGCCATCCATGCACATCGACAAATTGCTTTGCTGAGCAAGATGCTGAGTCCTGTCTTATCTTAGGTGCTTTTTGTACCATAGGTCCATGTGCTAGCAGTGCCGAGACTGGATAACACCAGAACCACCACTGAACTCTCTTCTCCACTTCCACAGAAGCACAGTACTTTGGAGGAGGAGCAGACAGGGAGCATCCACTGCCCCAAGCACCTCTGGAGTAATCCTGCTAATTTAATTCCAGTCATTCTGGGTTTGACCCAGCCACGTTTTATGGGATTTGTAATTTTCTAATTCGTTTTTAGGCTGCGTAGTTGGGAGCAAAGTGAATCCAAGGAAGCTGCAGCCACCCCATTTCATTGTGTCTCTAAAGCCAGAATGGCCACTCACCTGAAATCCCTGCAGCCCTCTCCTGGCTTTGTGAGTTGAACCTGATGTGGTTCTGCTCCTCTTTCAGCTGCTTCTTGAATGACTCATGTGGTTATTGCCTGCTCCTTCCTCCTTTTCCTTTGGACAATCCAGTCCACTGATCCTCTTCAGTGATTATATTCATACCAAGTTACTGGTTATCCACCTCTCTCCATGCTCGCTCATCTCTCTCCATTGCAGAGAACGCTTCAGTTGGCCCCATAATATCACACCCAAGGCAACACAATCAAAACTGAGATTGGATGTGCTGAGCCGCACCCCTCATTCTTCTCACCCAGCTTCTCCATCCACTCTCCCAGTCAGAAGAGCAATGTATGCCTGGCACAGCTCAACCAATGCCTTGTCAAAAGCACTTTACAATGAGTGAGATGATGAATGCTGCAAATCTGTGTTGAACTTACACATACAAGAAGTGGCTGGCTGGCTGGGCAGCTGATTCCCTGGCTCATCAGCCATGCAGGGGAAACAGAACACACCAGGACACGTTTCTAAGCCACATTCAGAAGAACTTCCTCAGTACTGGTAGCTCCTTGCAGAGGGGATCCCAAACGGAACAGCAAGCACGGAGGGCCTCAAGGTTGTGCACCCTGTTTGTAAGATATCGCAGCAACAAGAGCATGAGGACTTAGGAAGTCCTGGAGTCCATCTCCTAGGATGGGCTCAGAGCCCTTCCACAGAGGATGTACAAGCTACTGATGTGAATTTACCTTTGCCCTGTGAAAGCAGGCTCTGAGCAGTGATTCAGAGAAAACTCCAGGAACAAACTCACCGACAAAGGTTTCAAGCCGATAAGTGGGTATCCTTTATTGCAGCACTAGGAGACACAAGGGATAGCTCCTCCTAACGTGCATTGCCGTACTGCTATACAGGCCATCCTTATGTAGTCCCTAGGCGTACATACATTACATGTTCATGAGGCTACACATGGATTACATCATTTTCCAGAAGGTTCCCCGCATGCATGCACAAAGGTGGTGGTGGTCTCTGAGGGTCCTTTTGATGCAGAGGGTTGACCAATGTACAGGGGGGTTGGAGGAATTCGATTGCTTAAGCAAAGGTATTGTCTGTACCTATCATGCCTACTAAGCAGAACAAAAGCACTAGCTATTGACAAGGAAAAGCAGACACTTGGTTCTATTGACAAGGAAAAGCAGACACCTGATTCTACTGATAAGCACCTATTGATAGGGAAAAGCAGACCCCTGAATCTGTTAAGGGGGAGAAGGAGGTGGTGATGGCTGGGACCAAACCCTAAGGCCATACGTTCAGACTAAAAGCTGAAAAGTTCAAGAAGAGGAAGACTCATTTACTTCATCTTGAAGACCCCTACCCACAGGAGGAAGACTCATTTACTTCATTTTGAGACCCCTGCCCATGACCAGAGGGGGCACTGCGCAGGTGCAAAGGACCTTCTAGCTCACTGTAATACGAAGTGGGGATAGGACATGAATATGTATAGGCGTATGGTGCGACCTTATAAATGTAGAGGGAAACAACACTGGGGCACGCATGACTTTGAGGAATTAGCCCCGTGCCTCTCAGCCCTGAATAAAAAGCATACCTACTTTACAACTTTAGAGTTGTGGAGTCAATCCGCGCATCACTTTACTTCTCCCAACATCTTCATCACTTCAGGCAGTCTTTGAAGCACCAACTTAATTAACATCACAAACATAGCAATAAACCTGTCCTACTTATCAGTTACTTTAACTGCTTCCATCCTGGACATCTGCTAGTCCCTGATACTCCCCAGTAGATGTTTACACCAGCTTACTGGGTTCATTAATACCACAAACACAGCAATTATCAGTTAGTTTAGCTGTGCCCATCCTGGACATCTGCTACTCCCCATCCCCAGGTCCTGTTTTTCTATTCTGTTTTACTTACATTTTTTGTACTAAGGTCCTAAGGACCTAAACCCCTGTCATCTATCTTCAAGCACCGCAGTTATTTTCCATTACAAAGCCATCAAACTTAAAGTCGCTTAGAACTGATTACACTGTGCTTTTGTGCCTCCTTGTCTCAGCGGCCACCCATCTGCCTGAGCCATTCTCTGGTGAGCTCCACAAATGACATACAACCAAAGCAACACGCCAGGACTTTAATGCATTGTATATGCAACGCATCCCCTCCTTTACAGTGGTTATAATCTCCGAATCAATCGTAGCTGGCAGTGGAAGTTTCACACTAATGACTTCCTTATTATGGATGGAGACACCTTTCAGAGCTAATGAGCAGAAACAAGACCGCTCAGCTCCTACCTGAGGAGGTGACTCCACGGTCACCACTCGGAGCAGAGCTGTAGTGATGCTGCAGCACAGCAAATGCACAGGAGTCAGTCTGTGCTGCCCCTGCCTTTGGGACCCGAGTTCAGAAAGGCCTTTAAGGATCCCAGCTCATGCCCACCTAACAGCAGGGAGGAGAGTTACCCATCACACTGACGCATCACCCTGCCTTGCCATGCAAGCTGGGACTGCAGCCCAGGGGAAGCCTTGCTTTCCCCATCTGGAGGTGTGAAAGGGAGGGTTCAAGTTCCGTTCTACCTTGACAACTAGGAGAAAACAGCCAGTTTCACAGTTCATTCCCAAGCTAGTCCTGCAGGGCAGGAGCAGTGGGTGAGCCAGGGAGGATGCTCAGCATCCATCCCCCAGTGCCCGGGGTGGTGGCATCTGCCCTGGTACCTCTGGGAGCAGCACAGCACAAGCCTGGCTGCTGAAGGAGAAACAAACAAGCACATGAGTCACAAAGGCAGGCAGCATATGATGGGGACAGGTACTTATGCAAATCGACTGTTAACACCCAGCCAGACAGAGCTGATAAGCCTCCTAGGCCAGCTGGAGGCTTCTTCATCCAGCTGGGGGGAGGAGGAGGAGGACGGCATTAGGATAACAATAGGAAACCGAAAAGCAAGAGCAGGGCAGCTCTGGGAGGGTTGCACAGGGTTTCGGTACCCATCTGCTGCACCCTGCCATGCCACCGTGTCCCTGCGCTGGTCAGCAACAGCAACAGCCACCACGCTCCTCTCTGCTCCCGGAGGCATCCTGCGGTGCAGATGCAGGTTTCCATGTGGTGCCTGTCACCAACGCCTCCTGGGGACAGAGTTTGCATCTCCCTGCGTGCCCTTGGGAGCAAGGAAAAGCATCACCCAGCAAAGCATCCCAGACTTACGAGCCTGCACCACAGGGGAGTCTTGAACTGCCCCCATAACTTCTCCGCTGCCCCTTTGTGGATCAGCCACCTCCAGGAGCATAAATGAGGCAAACCATCCTCCTGCAGCGCTGCCGGGGATCCCGCAGGAAGCTTCCTATCCGCCTGGCTGGGCTGCTCATAATCAGATAGACGGGGTTTAAAAGAATCAAGCCTAAGCAGCTGAAATGCAAACAGGAATAGGTAATGGGGTCAGGAAACAAACGCTGCTCAGCCAGGGCATAGCCAGAGGGTCTGCAGGGCCAGTAAATAGGGACCATGCACGTACTCATGGCTTGCTGAGCCAGGAGCTGTGGTGCTTCTTCAGGATGCTCAAGAACCAGGGACTCTGGTCCCATCTTTCTCTGGTATTAGGAAACCATATGAAAGACCCTGTGTGCTTCAAGAGAGCACTGAGACATGTGGCTCCTTCCCTGCCATTGCACCCATCACCACAAACCTGAGTTGTAGAAGGAAGGATTTTGCTGTCCCAGAGCTCCATTAGTCTCCAGTCCTTGCACTGCCAGCAGCTCAGAGGATGCAGGACACATCCCTGCTCCTGTAGCATCACCATGCATATGGTCCCCTGCCCCACACTGGCTCTGCCAACACCATCACCTGCCTTACCCATGGGCAGGGAAGAGGGGACAGAAGCACCAGGGGAAGGGGGATTGCTGGATTTAGGGAACATTTGGTTCTCCCAACGCTTGGATTTCCAGCTCGTGTTAATGATGTAATGCTCCAGTGGTGAGAAGCCAAAGTCTACCCTTCCTGCGGTATTCCCTTAGGAAAAAGCTATTACTGCAATGTAAAACTGAGCATTGGACCAGGCCGGTGATTCACCAGAGAAGATGCCTCTGCCTTTCCCTATTCAGCGAGGCAGGGATGGATGTTGTGAGGTTTGAAAGAAAAACTGAGAAAGCCTTTAATTAATCCCGGGAGGTTAAACCATGCCAGGCAGGGACGGGATTCCTCCTCTGCCTCCTTTCTGGAGCGGGACCACGCTGCTGCCTTCCTGCCGCAGCGCTTCCCGGGGCATCCGCCGGTCCCCAGGGGAGGATCCAAAGCAATTCCCAAAGCTTCTTTGCCATGGAAGCCTCGCTGCTGTCCCAGGGCGTTGAGGAGCCCAGGAGCCCCCTCTGGCAATCCCCGGATCAGTGCAGGCTGTTGGAAGCTCCTACCTGCTGGGAGGACACCAGGGTTCAAGGTCGGGTTTGTTTGTCTCCCATCCTGACAGGCACAAGCTGTTACACAAGATCCAGGAAGTCACTTTTATCATCAGGCTTGATTCAATTTATAAGATTAAGAGCATGGAAAAAGCCCAAATACCAGTGCTGGAAAGTGCTGGCACTAACCGGGACGATGCTTGCTTTGGACAAGGATTGCTCTTAGGGTCTCTTATTGCCATGAATCAGTAGGGGCAGGATACAAAGTGTGCTGCTGGTGATGATGAGAAAACCTAACCCTTGCTTGTATAGAGCAAAGTGTAGAACAGGGCTTAGAGCAACTTACGTGGTTCCTACAGCAGCTCCTGTATAAACATCTCCAGCCTGGGAGCATCCCATGATGTAAAGCCAGGGCTTGATCCCTGGCAGAAGGCAGGGAGTGCGGCTCCATTGCCAGCAGTACCTGTGCTTGGAGCAAGCTGCTCCAGTGGAAGGTGTCCCTGCCTATGGCAGGGGTTGGAGCTGGATGAGCTTTAAGGTCCCTTCAACCCAAACTAGTCTGGGATTCTGTGCCTGATTCATCCCACAGAGCAGAGGCCCCTGCCAGAGATCACACCAAAACCATACCTGCCTTCTTGACACCTTTGCCAACCAAGATCCTCATAAAGCTGCAGTAATACAACAATTCTATGACTGAATAATTGCCAGGAAAAATAGGAAATTTAGTTTCCAGGGCTGTGAACTCCCTTAATGCAGCACCACATTTATAGATATCATGCACAGAACAGTGCAGGGATTAAGGAACTATGGAGTTTGATAACGGCTAAGGGAGAACCTGAGGTTTCAAAGAGAGCATTTGCTAGGTCAGCCATGGGAAGGACCACAACAACCTGAGCACCTCCTGCCTTGGGGGGAGCTGCCTTTCTCTGTGTTGATTCCCATTAGAGAGCGGTGGCAATGGAACCTCGGGAGCATCCAGTTCAGCCAAGCGCCTGTGTTTTATCTCAGTGGGAAATGGAGAGCGGGATCCGGAGTTTTCACAGTGAACAGATCCACAGGAAAACCATTCCCTCTGCTCCTAGAGGAGAGAAAATCCTCCCGCATCGTTGCTCCTGCCCTTTCACCAATGCACACGCTCACTGAGGAAGCTTCTGCACACTGGCCACCCTGTGATGTTTTTATGTGGCTCCTTAATAGCACTTCTAATCCAGGGACCTGCAGCCTTATCTCCATGTAAGAAGACGGAGTTTTGCTCCGGTGATGTAAGTGGCAATAACCCAGCACCCAGCTTCAAGGCCTGTCCATCAGCTACATCCATGCCCTGGCTCTCCAGTAACACTTTTACCTACAAACAGAGGAATGGTGCAAATCTACTCCGTTCTTAGACTCAGTTTGGTGACAACAGCCCCAGGTCTGCATCACCACACACCTATAGAATCATAGAATAGTTAGGGTTGGAAAGGACCTTAAGATCATCAAGTTCCAACCCCTCTGCCATGGGCAGGGACACCTCGCTCAGGAACTGGGCAAATACACAGGGCACAGCTATAGGCAAGCCATCTAAGAGTGGTTGTTTTCACTGTGTACCACCTTGAGCATGCTTAACAAGCAACCTGAAGAGGTGAACCCCTTAAATCCACTGTTTCATTGCACTGAGCAGTGATATATTGCTGGAGTAGGATCGAGACACTCGGCAGCACCAGTAGAAGGCTGCAAGGCTGCAGTGTACGCTGGCTCCATGGCCCCAAGTGCTTTGGGAGATCAGCTATTGTGATAATACAACAGTTGCTTGTGCATGGGATCGGGCTCAGTCGCTCTCAAAGCCCAGCCCTTGCCACAGAGGCTTTCATCCTTTGCTTTCAGAGTAAAGTGCATCCTCCCTGCCCAGAGCAGCATCAGCTTTACCACAAAATACCTGCAGCATTTGATGTCTGCAGAGGCAGGCATTACTCACCCTGTTGCTTCTTATGCAAACACGGTACCGCAGCTGGGATAGCAGAGAGAGGAGCCTGAACAGAGAGATGCCCATCACCTGGGGCTCTGTTTCCCAGCAGAAAAGTCATCCTGGAGATCCTCCTTGCTGTGTTGTAGCACTGGGAGCTGCATGTTCAACCTGCTCTAGTGGAAGGTGTCCCTGGGTTGGAGCTGGATGAGCTTTAAGGTCCCTTCCAACCCAAACCAGTCTGGGATTCTTTGCAGACGGCTTTTGGTTTGAAAAGGATCCCAAAATTATCACCTATTTTGGAGCAATCAGTGCTTGCTCTTTAAAGTATGAATTACCCTATTGTGCACAATAAAGGAAAACTAAAGGAAATATTGCTACTCATACCTCTGGATCCAGGTTTTCACACCTTCTTTGCATAATTCCATCCTGGGATATGATGCTTTCCAAGTTAAACAGATAAATCCCCCTGGTACCCAACTGTTCTACACCCTGGTTTTATACTCCACCAGGAACAAACTGAAAATTCAATATAAAGGCAGTTGTTTCCCCAGCAACAGATTAAGGAAGAAAAAAAATCAACTTCATCCCATTTCCAGGTGTAAATGTTTGGGGTAGGAGCAAAACCGCCAATGTCCTGCATTGACAGGACAAATACAAAGGCATCTTCGAAAGGCTCCTGTAGGCATTACTCTGCATTGTGACATTAAGGGGAAGGTTCCTTGATTGCATCTCTTCTTGGGAATGGGTAAATGGAAAAGAGAACTGGAAAGGGTAAAAGTGGAAAAAGAGAAGCAAGCATCTAGGGTTTAATCATTGCTCCTTTCTCCACGGACCATTGCCACTTTTTATCAGGGTGATGGCCAGAGCCAGAAGGGACAAACCACCACAAGACAAGATATTCTCAGAGTCATTCTTCTGCCATGAACTGGAAACAGCAAAAGGAACCTCACTGGTGTGAAGCTGGTGGGAGATGATGGAGAGTCAGGCTGACAGAATACCCCCCGCAGCCACCTGTATTTTGGCACTGGGTGAGTTACCAGGATCAGTAATGATATAAAGATCCTTCCATCAAAAAATAGATGGCAAAACCACTCAGATAACTCAAAGAGACAGCAACAGCTCCACAGAACAGCCCAGATCACCGCTTTCCACCCCTCCTGGTAAGCCAGGTATAGGCTGTTTGCTGCCATCCTCCCTCTTCTCCCCCTCAGTCAGGGACAACCTCCATCTCTCTCGTAGAGACTCCCTATTCTCTCACTTAGCCCCATAGTCTCACCCACCACAGGCAGGCTGGATTGCTTTGGAACCATGTCTCAAGCTTGCCTTTATAAACATCTAAACCCCTTTCTCTTTCTCTCTCTGTTCTCCCCCAAGCCTCCCTCTTCATCCATCGCTTATCATCATCTCCAGTCCCAGCAGCTGCCCTCAAGACCACATCAATTCACTCCACAACCACTCTGGTCCTCCGCTTACATAATTCAGAAGCTTCTTGCCTTCCCCTCTGTATTCCTGTTACCTTTCCACATCTCCTCTTACCTCGCTGAACCAATAACCCACCTACCATACGGCCAGCCCATCACCTTTGCCCCACCAGCCTCTAGAATGTGTCTGTCAGCTCCTTCCCTAAGCGCAGCCTCACTTTCTGCCCAGCTTTCTTTTAAGCCTGGGAAAACCTTCCCGATAAAATCTGAGCAGCCACTCCTTCCTCCTCCTCCTCCAAAACCATCCCTGCAGCTCCCTCCTGCCAAAAACCCTTCCAAACACAACCTTGCCTATGGCTGGGCAACGGAGGAACTAAGGCTCTCTTTCCTCCCTCCATTCTCAGGCAAGCGTTAGCCCAACCAACTCACACCAGCCAAGACGGGCCCTTGCCTTTTGTACATCTGTATTTTGTATGCTGTATGACCATTGTTATTAGTGCCTGCAAAACACAAGACCCTCAGGGCAGGGATTGCCTCTCTTTAAACCCTGCTTCTGCAAAGCACCTAATGCAGCAGTGTTCCCAGCAGTTCCCTGTACATGCTCCCAAATACAAGCATGCACTGATAACAGTGGGTTCCCTGAAGGAGAGCTACAGCAGAGCTGGGAACTAGCAGTGAACTGCAGTTGTCACTGGTGCAGAATGGGAGGGCAAATGAAGATCAGCTGGACAAGAATGAGATTGTCGGAGCAATCCCAGACACAGCTCCAGGCTGGGCAGAGAAGAGATTCAGAGCAGCCCAAGGAGAAGGACTTGGGGGTGCTGGTCCATGAGAAAATGAACATGAGCCGGCTTCAGTGTGCGCTTGCAGCCCAGAAACCAACCGTATCCTGGGCTGCATCAAAAGGAGCGTGACCAGCAGGTCGAAGGAGGTGATCCTGCCCCTCTGCTCTGCTCTCGTGAGACCTCACCTGGAGCATTGTGTGCAGTTCTGGTGTCCTCAACATAAAAAGGACATGGATCTGTTGGAACAAGTCCAGAGGAGGCCACAAGGATGATCAGGGGCTGGAGCAGCTCCTGTATGAAGGGAGGCTGAGAAAGTTGGGGCTGTTCAGCCTGGAGAAGAGAAGGCTGCGTGGAGACCTCAGAGCAGCTTCCAGTGTCTGAAAGGGGCCTATAGGGATGCTGGGGATGGACTCTTCATTAGGAACTGTAGTGGTAGGACAAGGGGTAATGGGTTAAAACTGAAACAGGGGAAGTTTAGATTGGATCTAAGGAGGAAATTCTTTCCTGTGAGGGTGCTGAGGCACTGGAATGGGTTGCCCAGGGAGGTTGTGAATGCTCCATCCCTGGCAGTGTTCAAGGCCAGGTTAGACAGAGCCTTGGGTGAGATGGTTTAGTGTGAGGTGTCCCTGTCCATGGCAGGGGGTTGGAACTTGATGATCTTAAGGTCCTTTCCAACCCGAACTATTCTATGATTCTACACAAGCACAGAGCACAGACTGGTGCAATTAGGTGTGGGAGAAGCGATCATCAGTGCTTCCAAAAGCTCATGTATCTCCATGCTCCAGCCCATCACTGTTAGAAGTGTCCTGGCTTCCATGCACTTAAAGCAAACTTCGCTCTCAGCACAAACCAGGGCTTTGAGCCTTCACTTCTAAAC